ATTTGGGAATTATCTGCAAATTAGGTAATTCAACATTATCCGATATTTTCAGAATATTTAATTTCCTAATATGGGTGTTTGAATATTTCGTGAATATCATGTGGATATTTAGATATCTTAGGATAATGTTCGATATATCCGCAATATTTTTAAATATTCAAAATTAGGAAAACTTCCTAATTTAGCAACGTATCTGGACGACTATCCGACCTTATCCCTAAGGTACGATACGCGGCGATACGGAAAATTATTATCCTATCCATAACCACTTGGGTACGATAATGATTTTTATCCGCTTTCCAAATTTGAATAATCGGCTTTCCGTCGATATCTATAACCCTATAGATATGACCGATGGTTTGATTTTTGTGCCTAATCCGAGTTTGAAACAAATATGGCGGATCGCGTGGATGTTTTGAATGTGGTTGCTATCCTTGTTTATTTAATTGCTTTCCTTTTTCAAATAAACAGAAAATTCAAAAAATATTAATTAGATTTGAATTAGAGTTTTTGCATATCTAGGAATCCTAAATATATCTAGAAGATAGAGTAGTTATTTAATTTAAATTAGGACTTGAGATGATTTATTTCCTAGTTTAAATTAAGTAATATTCTGATCTTAATAGATTATTCAGGTTATTTTATTATTTCGAATTTCCATGAAAATCCCAAGAAAAGAAGAATGAATTGTTTTAGGATAGATTAGGATAGATTGTATTCTTAATTTAAGTAATTCATTATTTTGAATTTTAACAAAAATCCTAAAAAGAAATCATGCCAGGGTAGATTAAGTCATCATAGTTTGCATGTTAATTTAGGCATTTTTATTATTCCGAATTTAAATTGAGAAAATACCAAAAATAATCATTCGTCTTGTCATTAGAAATAGGTCACGTCGTCGCACGACATATAGTTTGCATGCTAGGTTGCATTAATCGCATGTCATTTTCGCATGTCATTGTATATAGGCTAGATTTCATTTAAATAAGTGAAAATCCAAAAAAGAAATTGAGTGAATTGCTTGTTAATTAGAAATCATATTAGGGTGTCAATGTGATTTTCTAGCTAACAATGCAGATGCTTACGTTGCTTCCAGGTAAGTAATTCTTCCAAGCTTGCAATTTATTTAATGCTTTCTGGGTGTTAAATTGGTGGTTTGCGCACCCGCATGATCACCTCACATGTTAGTAATTAAGTTGAAATGGATCCAAACTGCCTGCCAAAACATTTTTGAAAAGAAAAGGTACCGAAAGGGCGTTAGACCAGATCTAGCGTAATCAAGTCCCCGGGCTTAGAATCTCTGGTTCGTAGGAATAAAACATATCTCCCTATGTTTTATTTAGGTTTCTAATCAACCTACCATAAATTGATTAGTGGCGACTCCGAGCATAAAAACTTTTGCATGTTAAAAACTTAAACCCTAAGTTGCGAATTGGTAGGGCTTGGGAGGGCCCGAGTTAGGCTTAGTCTTAACAATCCATTAGCCTGAGGAATTTTAGGTCACGACAACTAAAAATTGGTCACTTCTTCGATATCTTTCATCAGATATAAATGGTTCACCATGGCAAGTCCAATTATAATAATTCGAAGTAAACCCAAATCTGCAAAGATGTTCTCTAACTGTATCACACACATGAAATTTACCATTACTGCACTTTCTATACGGACACCTTAACTTATTTCCATCCATGAACTCATATTTACTACTAGCAAAGTCTAAAAATAGTTCCAACCTAGTACGAAACTCATTGGTCAATCCTCGACGTCCAGGTAAGTTCTTATTATATATCCAAGCCCTGTCTCTTTGCATTGTGTCTGTATTAAAATAAAAAAATCTCGTAAAATATTTAAAATATCATATCTACTGTTGTTAATTAAAACCATAAAATTATGAAAATTAAAATTTTGTTTTTCACGCAACAATTACTTTGAAATTTAAAAAATTGAAAAAATTACCATGTAAAGAAGACTTACCCAAATATTTGACTGAAATCTTGGTAGTAGAAAGTGGTTAATTGAAGAGAATTGCAACGTTCACTTGGATTGCGAGACCTTCAATTGGACACGTACCTAAATAAAAGTAAAATCACTTAACATTCATTTTTAAATATTTTTTATTTTTTCCGAATTCTTAAAAAAAAAAATTTCTTATATTTTTCTCCTGTCGCCGGTCCGACGACCGGCTGATCTGGGCCAGGCCGCGCGGCCTCGCCGGCCATGGCTCGAGGCCAGTCGGCTTCTGCCAGATCTGGACGAGGCCGCCATGGCGGCGAGGTCGACTGGCGGCCTCGCCCGGGTGTGTCCGTCGCAAATTGGTGGCCGTCGCCGATCCGGCGATCGGCCACCGATTTACAACAAAAACAGAATAAAAAAGTCAATAAAAAAAAATTTCGCATCAAGCGATGAATAGAAAGAACAGGACCGTATTAGTCGCATGTTTAGTCACGAAATTAGATATGATATTTACCGGTGGAAAAGCTTTACCGAGATTGATTTCTGCGCGCACGTTTTATTGAGAGAAACGAAAGAGGGAGAAGGCAAGAGAAAAGCGAGCGACGTGACGAATCACTACTGAGAGAGAGAAATTGACGGGTGGGGTGCATATGACGAAATTAATTTTCCGTCACAAATTAGCGACGAATCCACTTTCGTCGCAAAATCCGTCGCAAATTGCGACGGATATAATATTCGTCGCGACTTTCGTCGCACAGAATTGCGACGGAAAATAAATCCGTTGCACATTTGCGACGGAAAATTAGTCGTCGCTAATTTGCGACGGAATTAGCGACGACCAACATTCCATCGCAATTTTGCAACGAATTTTGCGATGGAAAATAATTTCGTCGCAAATTAGCGACGAAATTTGCCACGGAAAATAATTCCGTCGCAAAATTGCGACGGAATTTGCGACGGAATTCCTTTCCGTCGCAATTTGGCAACGGAATTATTTTCCGTTGCAAAATTCGTTGCAAATTTGCGACGGAATTATTTTCCGTCGCAAATTTGCGACGGAATTGGCGACGGAAAATAATTCCATCGCAAATTCCGTCGGAAATTTGTGACGGATTAGTTTCCGTCGCAAAGTTTGTCGCAAATTAGCAACGAAAAATTTCCCGTCGCAAAAATCATGTTTTTTTGTAGTGTTGGGCCTCTTCATTTCATGGACGATGACAGCAATACCGGTAGTGACGATAGCGATGCGGAGGAGTATAGTGACCCTGAGGAGTATAGTGATCCGGAGGAGTAGATGGCACGACCATGTATCAGCATATGTATGTATATATTGTCTATATGTAGTTAGACATGCTATTGTCACGATACGCTGCCATGTAGAAGGGTTAGACAACTTTTTGAACCCCCTCCCAGGCGTAAGTAGTGTGGCCTCGTGATGTACGTGATGCAGTCTTTTGGCATGCACGAAGTTGGGTTACAAGATGTACATATGTGTAAGTAACTCATGTAGATGGTTGTAAAATGAGGATGGTCTGTTTATGCTATGGAGTTCGCGTATTCATCTTTGATTGACTTTGTACCTCGTAATAACTTCCGCATGCGCTAATTAAGATTGTAAAGAATGCCTTAGTATGTGACGAACTGGGACGTCACACTTCGCTCCATCGAAGCTCTTTTACTTGGCTAGGTAATAAGTCGGCTCTGAATTAAAACCAAGAATCGAAGGTTGTGCGCGAGCAAATGACCTGTTTACTTATGAAGTAACGTGCGAATTGCTGTTGCATTTTGTGTGCAGGCGAAGAAGATAAGACCGAGGAATGAGAGGGAAGCGAGTGAGGCTGATTTGCTGACGACGAAGATGCAAATGGACGGGGCTGGTGCTGCCAAAACAATAGAGGTGGGGTTTCAACTTTGTTTCGGTTTAGTTCGGATACCGAACCTAACCAACCCAAACCGAACCAAAACAATTACAATACCCAGATTTTTAAGCTTTTACACAAGCCGGGGGAAGGCCCGATGCGAATAAAACCGAAAATTTCGGTTGGGATCGGTTTGGGCTTCTTCGACAGCCTTACTTTATTTGGTGGTCTCACAGCATCTCTAAAACCCTCCTTGCATCTATTTTTACGGATATTATCTCACATGTTTTTACTTTTTTCATAATCTCACGATGACGCTTTTTTTAATGAAAAATATTTGTTCTTCTAAAAATGACTTATAATTAACAGAAGTGTTTAGGAGTGGGCATCGGACTGTACCTGGGCAGCATGAGCTGGGCCGAGCTAGGTGAACTTTTTCTTCAAACGTAAAAAATAGACAAAAGTTAATCAAGAAAATTCAATGAAAACGCTAATTCAACTAAAATAAATGAAGTACATTCTCAAATAGTTTGAAAATTTTATCACATGTCCAAGTGCCCTAATAACGATTACCCATAGATTTCACCCAAGAGAATGTCAAATAATCTCAATGTCTTCGATGTGGTGTTTCTCCCTATGATTTAGATGATAAAGTGTCGGTGTTGTCTTTTTGTTCACATTAGGCACACATTCAGTTGGAGTCAATTCTTGTAATAACAATCACGCTGATAGATAGCCATTTTTACATTTTTTGCAATCAAGCTGCTCTATTGTCTTCCATGATTTATTGACTAGTACTAAACGTGGATCTGGTGGTACCATAGACACCGGTTTTGACCCTAAAAATTTTCGCCCCAAGGGTCTTTCTTGAATTTTATGAAAATTAAGGTTGGATTTCTCAGATATTATCAGGATCTGTCCCTAACAACTACATCGCCCAATATATCTTCATTCTGTTATTCATTGCATCACCTAACTAAAAGAAACTTTGGCATCGAAGTCTTCACGAAGTTCAACTATAGAGGAAGTGGCTGCGAGACCCACACAAGCCAAAGCAGGGTTTGGTCTCTCTCTCTCTGTGGCACAAGATCATTTCATACTTAGCATGAGCCCTTCCCCAATTCATTTGTTAAGAATATGTTTCAAGTTTGAGCTCGAAAAATAAAGGATTAATATTACGAAAAACCCCAAACTGGTATACATGTGACAATTTTACTTTTACAAGCCCGGCAAAGAAGCTGCACTGCATCAATTAGATTAAAAGCGCTACAGTTCAGTTTTTACTCAAGAAATGGCAATTATTTAACGCATCGCCATAACTCCAAGAGCGGCTACAATGAACATTTTGAACTCGGAATGACCAGTAGATACAATTACAACAGACTAGAGATCAGAATCTGTTACTATATGGTGTTCCATAAACTATCAAGTAAGGAACTGTTCGGACCACAGACTAGAGATCAGAATCTGTTACTATATGGTGTTCCATAAACTATCAAGTAAGGAACTGTTCGGACCACGGTATCCACTGGAATTGCGAAGTTAACACCGGAGGACAACCCTGTCCCTGCATAAAAGAGGAAAAAAGCATTTTTAGAAATTTTCAGACTGTTTGTCCCTGTATGATATGTTTGTTTATCTCAAATTCTTTCAGACATTGGGAAGAGGCAAATCTCTGGGCAACAGAACTTCACCTTTGCGAGTAAATGTTGCTGTGTTGACTCCTATCACATAGCCATGCGAATCTATCAATGGCCCTCCTGAATTCCCTGCACAAACAGAACAGATCGGAGCTTAGAAAATGGCCATAATAGTTTGTATGACAGGTTTTTGGGATTGTCACTGATCAATTTTCACCAAACAAGACCACAAGGAAAACATAAATGTACACATGACAAAAACAAAATCAATATCTCGTCTACACCAAAAAAATTTTGCTTTTTCTTGACAAAAGCAATTAATAACAGGACTAAACTTTCACCAGAATTAATTGCTGCATCAGTCTGTATAGCTCCTCGAATAGAGCTTCCATTTGGTGAGGGTATCTCCCTCCCCAAACCACTAACCACCTGTATCAATTAAAGCATCAGGCAGATGCACAACTTTTTTTTATATGATTTTGTCAAATCTTGAAATGTAAAAACCACTGGCGAGGGTGTCGAAGATCAAAGGGATTATCAGGACAAGAGAATCATCGACCCGACTTGACAGCAGGTTAATGCTTCACACGGTGCTGTCTGTCAGGCTACACTTAATTTTCTATTAAGAATTACCCCGGTTGTGAGCGTGTTTTCATATCCATATGGATTTCCAATTGCAAAGCAGCTCTGACCTACACGAAGGTCATGGGAAGTCCCAAGAACAGCAGGTTTTACTTGATGTCCATCGATGTTGACCTGGATAAAAGGGCTGGTCAAGCAGATTTCGACAATCTTTTTGCCACAAATTAAATTATCTCTAACAGGCTCAGCTTAGTCAGTTGATTATAACTGATTCCCAGAAATTCAAGGAATTACAGGAGATTTTCAAGCACAGTTTGTAGGTTTTGTGATGGAAACCTTCACTTCTACCCAATCCTTGCAGAAGCCAAAACTATAAGAGAAAGCAAAAATACAAAACAACTCCTAAGAAGTTACCGAACAAAATGTTATTCCTGATGAAGAATTCATTGAGATTGTAAGTTGTGAATGAAATAAGAAGAGAAAATCAAAGGTTTGGTTTATCCTTTTTCTACTTCCTTTTAAGGTTATCTTCAAGCTTACTTGACAGATGGAGATCCTTCACACTGGCATAATGTTCAGAACTGACAAACAGTTCCCCCTATGTCAAATGTCAATAACCATATTATCTATCAAATAAATAATTTGGCCTCCACAGAGCAAATAGCATTTCTACTTTGTTTGATAAGGGTAAAGACGTAATGTACAGCACAAGACACACTTTTTTTCCTTCAACTCACCTTCAAGACAGCCAGATCATTTGCAGTATCAAAGCCAATAATTTTGCCTTCTCGGACAAAGCTACTACCTGTTGCATCTACTAGTAACACCTACACCAGGAAAACATCCAGATGTTATCTATTTAAAGAAAAGTCTAATTTAACTGCACAAGAAGATTACTCGAAGACAAAAGGTATGATGAAACCTTACAACGCTGTAACCCACTTTGATCTGTGGCCAACTTGGCGATGACATGGTAATTAGTGACCTGCCATGCATGAAACAATAGCTCACTTCAGAAGTTGTCAGATTGAACTTTCATAAGCATTTTGTAAGGGTTACTGCCAGGAACTTCTCAAATTACATTGCCGTAGCTCGCCATGACATGAGGCCTTGGTTGTCAATTGTGCATAAATCATCTTATAAACTCTCTAGAGGAGCCTTGCAATCTACGAGGAGAATTATTCATCCTTCTCTAAAGTTATTCATTATTAAGCATGGTAATCTGTTATCGCTCAATCAAAGTAATGAATTTCTGCTGTACAGTAACAACTGTACTCTTCAGATTTGTCAGTCCATATCTAGCAGGTGTGGGCATGCATTAAAAGAGAATACAATCAACTTTTCAATGTCAAGAAGCCTGCCTTCAATCATTTTCTTATTTCTCAACTCCCATGTATGGTATATGACTGCACTCGAGCTAGCTTTTTCAATATTGTTACATGAATTGATCCACACTTCAAATGCTGCTTTGCCCAATCAACTATAAAGTCCACTGACCAGGCTATCGACAAATTCTGCTCTAACTCAATAAAAAAGAAAAATGCAATTCCGACATTTGGCAACAGGGAGGACCATTTTCTAAAGGCTGTCTTCTCCAACAAAGCACAATCTCTGTTGGACAAGATATCAACAGACTGAGCAGCAGAGAGATGCAAAATCTTATCACAATGTGCTCCCGAATGCCCGTTTTCATTTACATGTGTGTGGTATATTTTGGGTATGAATAACATGCATTGACATCAGCATTCTAGCTAGCCAATATGATCATATTGATTTACATAATTAAGTCATATCTACACTTAAATGAAATGAGATTCGCAACAGTATATCAAGAGGAGCCAAACAGAGGAAGTCAAGAAAGAAGAAAGAGTACCTACAATGTGACCAAATTTATCCCAAATGAAGCCAGAACCTGTGCCCTCAAGTTTGGCATCTTTATCATCAATAGGCACGGCTTCGCTCGAAGAGCCCTTGGAGCTTTTAGCTATTGCCAAGTCCTTAATGAAAACAACCGACGGCGAAGTTTCCTACAAGACCAAATACAGGGACATTAGTTTCACAAAAGAGAGTCACTCAAGGCACCAGGAGATTCAAAGACATGATGTTTCGGGTCCGATGTCGCACTCACTTTACACGAGACCCAAAATTAGCTCTTCGCAAATCACAAGTCCCTAAAATGCAGGTGACCCTTAATTTTATAATCGATAATCAACTTATCAACGTAGCTTACTTCACCAGGTAGTTAATAAAACTCTTTCCTTCCGATATCACACTTAACAGTCAAGCTTAGAAAGAACAGAGAAGTGACTGCGAGAGACCTGAAAAGGCTGTATCTCTAATGGACGCGAATTTAAAATGAATCGATTCTTTAACACTTCGGGAAAGAAGAAGAAGAAGAAGAATAACAAAGTTAGAGAACATAGCAAATTCAGGAATTGACGAGCTCAAACCTGAAAGATGTGGACGACGCGATCCTCTTCTCGCTGAAGCTCGTCCTCTGGCTTCTGCTCTGCCAGTGCCGGACGGCATGAAGAATACTGGAGATCGGAACTGCACAGGCGCAGCAAAGAGGACACGCCAACTGCAACTCCAACTAGAGAACTGATAATGGTCGCTCTCCGTCTTGTCAGACATGGAATCGTAGTGGAGGAAGAAGAGGAGGAGGAGGAGGAGGAGGTGATAGCAGATATGTCCGACAGAAACGGAACGACCTGAGCCTGAGAGCCTAACACCATTCTCGTTACCCTCTCTTCCTCGACCTCGACTGCAAATTTGCTTTTAGACGGCAAGGGATAAGGTAGTCCGTCCGCGTGGCTTCTTTTCTTCCATTCAAGGCTCCCTCAAAAGCAGAAATTACATCGTACATATTTTGCCAATTTATGAGCACTTTGAGAGAGAGATGTTCGGGACATTCGAAATGAAAATGGTAATCATTCCCTTTCCATCTGTAACCCCAATATTTGAATCAACAAATTTATTTGGAGATTCACCATCCATAATATCATAATTGCTTAATAGCATTTGGATCATCGACATCTCTTCTTTAATTTAACCTCAATATTTGCCTCAATAAATTTATTTGGAGATTTTTTTTTTGGGTAAGAATTTATTTGGAGATTCACCATCCATAATATCATAGTTGCTTCATAGCATCTGGATCGTCAACATCTCTTCTTCAATTTGTTCATGATCTTGTCTTGCTCCTTAAATTCTGACTTTACATGGTATGAATCTCACTAAGTCTCTTGAAGTTCCAAGTCAATCTTTTCAATTTCTTGAAGAGTCGTAATCATCCGATTAGGACAATCGACTTTGAAGTGACAATAGCCATAGCACTTGAATCACTTTCAAGCACTACCACCATCGATCTTTTTAGGGAAGTTCTTTGATAGACTCCGTGGCTTTTCTCTTTACCTTTGTCCTTCGAGGAAGTCTAGGCCTTTCTAGAAGGAACACCCTTAAGGAAGGTTCTCCCCCTTGTCAATGATTTGGTCGACAAACCCTTGTCATGCCTTAGTTGTTTGTCTACCTTCATGGTCAGTTTGCAAACATCTTTGAAAGACCAATATAATTGAAGTTCAACCAAATTGGTAATCTCTCTGTTCAAGCCACCAAGGAAACGAGCGATTGTCTATTATGGCAGTTTTGGAATATTACACCTCATAAGGAGTTGTTCAAACTTTCTAATGTATTCTTCAACGCTCGTTTAGCATTGCCAGAGGGAATTCATTATGAGAAACAAGTCTTGCTTGTAGTTGTCAAATAATAACCTCTTCTTTATCAACTTCTTAAGTTTTTTTTTTTTTTAACCGAGATGTTCGGGCCAGCTTGCGCGCATCTCGACTATTCCCCGGGGGAGACTAGCACAGCAACCCACCGCCATGGCCCCCCACTTAAATCACAAGTGCTCAGCTGGGAAATCGAACCTAGGACCGGTGCGCCTAACCACACAATCCCAAGTACGCCTTAACCAATTGAGCTACCCATGAGTGGGTAACTTCTTAAGTTTTTCCTACGACTTAATTTTACTTTTTCCTTCCCTGATGCGCTGATGCTTTAGGTTCTCCCACCAAAGAGAGGCATATGTCTTCAACTTAGGACAACAACCTTACATCTCTTCTCATCCGAGTACGAGTGGAAGTCAAATACTTGCTCAATAACATGTATCCCATCAACTAGTGGTGGCCACGGGCCGGTTTCGGCCCGGAACCGGCCCGGAACCGGACCGGTCAAACCCGGGCCCGGACCGTTGATTGGGCCCGCGGTTTGGAACCGGAACCGGCCCGTGCCCTACGGGCCCGGTTCCGGTTCTAGAAATTATGGAACCGGCGGTTCCGGGCCCGGTTCCGAAAAAAAAAAATAAAAAAATAAAAACTAAAAACTGCTGCACTCTGCACTGCAGAGTCAGCAGAGTCGCAGACTGCACTCTGCAGTGCAGTGACCCGTTGGCCCAACGGCCCCAACGGGCAAAGTTTTTTAAAAAAAAAAAAAAAACCCCCCCGGGCCCCCTCCCCACTCCCCCAGGCGCCCGCAGCAGGGCCTGCACAGGCCCTGCTATGGGCAAAATAAATAAAAAATAAAAAATCCCCGCAGCAGGGCCTGCACGTTTGCAGGCCCTGCTGCGGGCAAAAAACTATTAAAAAAAAAGAAAAGATAACCGTTGCAAAATTGCAACGGTTATCTTTTCTTTTTTTTTAATTCTAAATTTTCTTCTCATTTTTTTCTTATAAATTCTCTCAAATTCTCTCAATACTCACAATTCTATCAAATTCTCTCAATAGTCGAAATTCTCTCAAATTCTCTTAAATTTTCTCAATTTTCTCAATACACGCAATTCTTTCTTAATTCTCCCAATTAATTCGCTCAATTCTCTCAATCCACTCGAAAAATGGCAAGTAGAAGTCGAGTGTCAACTGGCAAAGGTAAGAATATCGCAACGGAATCCCATCATTCTTTTGATCCTCGTGAATATGCAGATTTTCAAGATGATGAAATCAACATTTTTCCCGATGTGGAGCGCGTCCCGACGCAAGAAAGTTTTCATCCTCATGCCGAAATATCTACAACAAAGGAAGTGGAACGGGAATTTACATCTGACATTTGGAATCATTTCACGAAAATGGAAAGGTTTGATATTGGTCAAAAAAGGTATGATATAATTTGTAAATATTGTGGGAAAATATATAAATATACAGGTGGACAAGGATATGGAACATTTAAACGACATCTTACGAGCAAACATCCAACCGAAACGGGAATCGATATCGGGCAACAACAAATTTCCGGGTACGTCAATCCTAACACTTCCCCTTTATTTCGTTTTAATGAAAAAAATTATAAGGAAGAATTAGGCAAATTTATTTCTGTTGAGCATTTAGCATTTAATTTTGGAGAAAGATTTGGTTTTAATAAATTTGTACAAAAAGCATGTGCTCCACAAGCAAAACGTATTCCTAGAAATTCAATTAAACTAGTAATTAAAGATCTTTACAAAAATGGAAGAAAAGATTTACAAAATTTTTTTATGCAATTTAATGGATGCGTGCATATAGGTAGTGATATTTGGAGTGATCATTGGCAAAATCATTCTTACATGGGCATAACATGTCATTGGATAGATGACGAGTAGAGTATTCAAAAAAGAGTTATTGCATTTAGAGTTTTCGATGATAAGCATACGGCAAATAATATTTATAGAATAATTAGGCAAATTTTAGAAGAATATTATTTGCTTAACAAAATTTTTTCAATTGGTTTTGATAATGCTGCGGCAAATACCGCTTCAATTGCCGATTTAGAAAATATTTGTAAACCCGCTTTTGACGGAAAATTTTTTCACATTAGATGTGTTTGTCATGTTTTAAATTTATGTGTACAAGATGGTTTGAAAACTCTTGATATTTTTCTTCAACCAATAAAAACGACGATTCAATTTTTATGGAAACATCCCTAGAAAATGAAAGAATGGGGTAAATTTTGTAGAGAAAATGGCAAAAGGCCAAAAAGATTTCCAAAAGATGTTCCAACTCGTTGGAATTCTACTTTTCACTTGCTTAATGAATCTTTAGCATATAAAGATTTATTATGTGTGTTTATTTCTAATAATATACCTGAGATTAATTTATACCCACAAGAGTAAGATATTTGCCAAAAAATTTTAGATGTTTTAAAGGTTTTTAATGATGCAACTTATACTTTATCCGGTGTTTATTATCCTACTACACATTTATTTTTAGTAGAGTGTACTAATATTGTCGGAATTTTTGATGAATATGAAAATGATGTTGAATTGCAACATACTATAGTTGCAATGAAAATGAAGTGGCTACATTATTATAGGGAAATTCCCATTATTTATTTAGTTGCTTGTGTTTTTTATCCGCGTTGCAAATTGGATGGCTTAAATGATTGTTTGCGTACGTATTATCAATGTTTACATTATGATGCGATAAATGTTACAACCATAATACGAGAGGTTAAAAATGTAGTAATAGAATTATATAATGAATTTTATGCTAAATATAATTTAGGTGATATTGGATCTTCTCGATCTACGGAGATACAAAATGACAGTACATGTAAAATTAGTAGAGGGTACCAACTTTTATTACATAGACAAAAAAAACAAAAGGGAGTAATAGGAAATATTTCTGAATTAGAGATTTATCTAACCGTTTCATTTGAGTTTACTGAATCCGAAGGTGGTATAGATTTTTTAATTTTGGATTGGTGGAAGAGGCACGCAAGCCAATATCCAATCCTTTCTCTTATTGCAAAACATATTTTTTCAACCCCTTGTTCCACAATTGCGGTTGAACAAGCATTCAGTGCCGGAGGTAATATTTTGGACGAACATCGTTCAAGATTATCTCCAAAATCAGTGGAGATTCAAGCTTGTGTTGCTGATTGGATGAAGGCTCAATACCGGCAACAAGAGATAGATCGGAATAATGAATCCGAATTCTTTAACGACGGAGATACTACCGGTACTGGTACCGGTACTGGAACAGGTAGTGACGATTGAGGGTAAAAGAACTATTGGAGTTGGCAAATATTTCGGGAACCCTTGTTTCTCATACCGGGTACGCCCACGTGAGCTTAGGGAAACCGAAATATAATCCGACGACATGTGACCTCTGGTCCCCTGCGCACGGAATGCTTAGGTTTTGGGGTCATTTTAGGGCATATATATTGTGCTCCTTTTTTTTTTATAAATCGTTGTAACGAATTATAATGTGCTAAATGATAATTTATTAAGTTCAAGCCCTCTCTTTCTCTCTTGTCTTTTTGTCCCCAAATTTGATTACAATTTACATTTTAATTATAATTTATATTGAATAATGTTCCGTCACCGGAACATTAACTTTTTAATTTTTTTTATTATTTTCTTTTCTTTTTTTATTTTCCTTTTCTTATTTTTTTTTCTTTTCTTCCTCCGCCGGCCATAGCCGGGCCGGCGGAGGTCGCCGGCCTCAGGCGAGGCCGTCCTCGCCGGCGTCGGGCGAGGCCGGCCTCGCCAGATCGGGTGAGGGCTCGACCACGCCGGCGTCGCCCGAGGCCGACCTCACCTCGCAACCGGGCGAGGCCGGCCTCGGCCGACGCCGGCGAGGCTCGACCTCGCCGCAATCGGGCGAGGCCGGCCTCGGCCAACGCCGGCGAGGTCGAGCCTCGCCGGATCTGGCGAGGCTCGACCTCGCCGCGTTGGCCGAGGCCGGCCTCGCTGGCCAGGTGCGAGGTCGGCCTCGCCCGACGCCGGCGAGGTCGAGCCCTCGCCAGATCTGGCAAGGCCGGCCTCGCCCAGCCCAGGCGAGGG